CCAGCAGCTCTGCACACATGCTGGAGCATCTGGCAGCAATATAGCACAGTCCCAGGCACAGCAGAGCGCACCCAGCACATGCAGGAGGCCTGTTCTGGGCCTAACCCTAAAAGTGCTGTTTTGCAGATTGCTGCTTTCAGCACACAGCTGTGCTTCCAAAACCCCACCTAACCCTTATTCTACACCATCTGCAGCTGCCCGCACACTCCACAGAGCCACAGCAGGCCCCATATATTAGCAGCTTAGGGTTACAGCTCCCACTCACATTTTGACAGCAAAAATCGACACTACACTGCACACACACACACAGCAAGCAGAGGTCAAGCTACACTTTAATGGCAGCATATTCTGGCTCAGGCAGAGCCAGGCTGGGCCAGCCTGGATTCTGGCCCAATGCTTTGGCTGGTGAGACGCTGAGGGAAACCCAACGCGCGCCTCCGCCGGAATCGGCGTTTGTGAGCCATCCCGCAACGTCCATAGCGCGCCAACATGTGCTTCTCTCCTCCAGCAGCTATTTGCTGTGTATCTCAATCAGGCTTTACCACAATTGCCAACCCTAGGGAGGGACCCATGTGCCCCATGGGCGAAGTGAGGCAAAGAAGGCTCGCGAGTTCCACTGGCAACAGCACCCGGCCGAAGTGATTCATTGCAACAGCCCTCCCTATTGTTGAATACAGGCTGTCTGGTAGATGTATGTAGGTGTATTTCTTTGCTGTGCCGCTGCAGTGCTACGTGCGATGCATGCGCAGCCTCGAGATGCACCTGCTGTCTACTACTGTTTAATTGCAGGTTATGACGGGCTCTAATCAAGTTCAAATACCATTTTATCAATGGTAGAGAGAGAGAGAGAGAGAGAGAGAGCGCTAAGGTAAATTCACAGCCAAAACTTGGTCGGAGTCTCGAGCATGCAGTCCTGAAGGACCCGAGGTAGTGTCATTTTTTCGATTTTTCTGGGAGCCCCCGCAGCTGCTCGAGACTATTATATGTTGAAGCAGCGAGACTCCCTCACAGTATAAGCCTGCTAGCTGGCCAACTTGCCTGCTCGCGGCGGCCAGAGCCCGCACCAAGCACGGCTCAATTCTTGTATTCGCTTGTATTCGATTCTCGCGTTTTGTATTCAGTGGACACCATGAGCGCACGAACAGAAATCAGTTGCCGATTTTTAGCTGCCCCCACGGGCTCGAGACCGGCTTCTCACCATTTTTCTAAATTAGTTGAGGGGTCTCCCTGATTGCTCCCAAATTTTTAGCCTGCTGCGACAACGGGAAGGGGGTCAAAGAAATCAAGAGGTCCGGGAGGTGATTACAAGATTCCGGAAAAGGCGCGAATATGCAAAAACGCACTTTCTGTCACTCACAACCAACGATTTTTCCTTAGAGCCGACTTTTGGGATCTGCACATCCAGAGCCGACTTTTGGGATCTGCACATCCCGCGCGCGCGCGAGCTCGCGCAGGCGCAATCGAAAAGGACGGAGTCTCTCACAGCGCGCGCTCTCGAGCTCAATTAGCTGGCGGCGCGAGTCGCGAGGGCGAGATCATCATCCAAAGGACTGCACTGCGCTGCGCAATACAACTGGGGCTGAATACAAAAATGTCGAGGGCACAAATTTTGCCTCGAGACAAAAGGTGCTTGGATCACCTCAAAGAGGCCGCAGGTGATGGTCTGGGGCAAGAAATCAAAAGTCGCGCCGGCGCGTAGGGAATGATGCAGGCAGGTGTCTCGAGGCATTCTGAGATGATTTGGTGTTGCTCGATTCTGAGATATGTTTTTGTATTCACGCTTTCAAGTCGATGTTGTATTGGAGTGGTGGAAGCTGATGAATGATGATGGAGCGCGCGTCGCATCTTTGTCGCTGCGCGCGCCGCGCATCAAAGATGCAGCATCCTTTGTCCTCGCGGCGCATGCTTCTTTCTCGCGTCTCAGCCCCACGCGCGCCGCCGCCCATTAATCTTGCGCGGCGCGCATCCATCCAACCTTTGTCTTCGCGCCGCCACGCGCGCAATGAGCGTAATATACTGCGCGTGCGACTCCCGCGCCCTTGCCGAGCGCCTAATTGATTGAGCAGGCGTGTTGCTCACAGGTGCACCTGCTCGCTCTCTCCGCCTCATCAAGCTCCAAGCACGCTGCCTCCGAAGCGCTCTCTCGATGCTGCATCTTGCTTGCTTGGGCGCTCTCGATGCTGCATCTTGCTTGCTTGGGCGCTCTCGATGCTGCATCTTGCTTGCTTGGGCGCTCTCGATGCTGCGTGGTGCCTGTCTGCGCCCTGCTCGTGTATGTGCGCGCCGCTCACGCCGCAAGCAGCCTCCGATGCGCCTTGGACTGACAGCCTCGAGCAGTCTCTCGCAGGGGACCCGATGGTGCTGCTGCTCGCTCGGCTACCCTCGTGCACCAGATCCGACCTGATCGATGCGCTGGGCATGTTTCTCGTCCCTGGCGGAGGCGCCGTTGCTCTCTGCTCCAGTCCCACTTACGTCGCTTGCCCTGCGCGCAGCGCTCGCTCCTCTGCCCGCTCACCTCCGACCCGTGCTCTCCTCTATGCCTTGTTGCGGCGCTCTGCCTTCTCGAGCCAGCTCGCGCTCATCGTCGCTGTCTGCGCGTGAGCTCTCCTTCCTGTCAGGTGCCACGCCCTCTCGAGACGACGTGCACTGTCAGCTGTAGCGCACGACATCGCTGCCTATGCACGCTCTCCCTCGCAGCCCCCATGCGCTGATGTCTCGCCCTGACCACCCTACTCTAGCGTACTGCTTCCTTGACCGACAACTCGCCATGAGGCGACGCCTCGCCTATCTGCCCTTTGCACGTCGTGTCCTCTCGCCTTGCTTTCTCGCACAGCCGAGCCTCCGAAAGCAGCCAGCTGTCGCAGCTCCGGCGAGGCACTCCTTGCGCTACGGTTGCTGTCATCGCCTTGCTACGCTCACGCAGCCTGCCAATCTGCAACAGCTCGTCTGCTCTGACCTGGCCTCGCCTCTTCTCGCTGGCTGCTAGCGCCCGCCTGCTGCTCGAAGTCAAGCACGAGCGCTTCACTTGCCTGCTCATCAGCAGCGACCGCTGCAGTGAGCTTGCATCTCGACAATAGAGCATCTCGATCGTTGCGCCGCAGATGTGCAGCTGTGCGTGAGCGCCTTGCTAGGCACGACGTTGCATGCGAGGCTTCTCGTTGCTGCAGCTCACATCCTCTGAGCCTCGTTGCTTGCGAGGTTAGCCGTTCTCGCTGCTTGTCCCTCCTCTCTGCTGTTCGCGCTCTCCCTGCTTCACCTGACCTCGCCACCACTTGCGCTGCCTTGCCTTGAGCTCCGCCACGTCGAGACTTGCAAGCCCGCCCGAGGCAGCTCTCTAGCGCTATGCCCGCTTTGCCTTGCCTCATTCCCGCTTATGCTGCCTTTGGCTCGCCTCGCCTGCCCGATCTCGAGGCTTGGGAGCCGTCTCTGCGCCGCCTCGTGCGCTTCTCCAGCGCCACTTGCTTGCTCGCAGCTACGCACCAACCTGCTCGCCTTGCCAACCTCCTTGGTCGCCTAGCTGCCCTGCTCACGTCGACGAAGCTGCTCGCGCGCCGCGCTTCCGCCCTGCGTCTCGCTCGCGCTATCCGCCATTCACCTCTCGTCTCGCAACTCTCGCACAGCGCACTCACACATGACTCACTAAGCAAGCATGCATTCGCCTCTGGCCCGCGCTAGTCATCCATGTCGCTCATCTCCTCGATCTCCTTCATGATGCGCTCTATCCGCTCCTTCTCCGCCCGCTCCTTGGCGCGCCGTTCCACCTCGGGCCTCATCTTCTCCGCCATCTCCAGCCTGGCCGTCCGCTGCAGCGGCGTCTCCTCCTCGCCGCAGCTGTCCGCGTCCCACTCGTCCCACTCGATCTCGAGCGAAGAGACGCTGCTCGGGGAGTCCTCGCGCACGTACTCGGCGGGCGGTGTCGCTCGAGGATCGGTGCCCGGCCGGCGCACATTGGCCCATTTGCGACGCCCTGGCGCGAGCCGCAGACGAGGAGGTGGAAGAGCGCGGCCCTCCGGCCCATGACGCGCGAGGAGCTGCGGCGTGGATGTCAGCGATCAGTCCAGCGCGAAATGGGGGTGCGAGGGAATGTGCGATTGATGCACCTCGATGCGCTCGCACACGGCAGATCCCCGCTTCTGCACCAGGAGAAGGTGCGAGGCATAGACCGGCCTCTGCGAGCGCACCTTCGTTCTGCTGCTTTGCTCCTCCACTCCACTGCTGCTGCGCGCGCCGCGTCGCTGTCCGCACACAACGCTCCCAGGGCTCGCCAGTCGAGCCGCCAGCTGCTGCTGCGCATCGCACTGGAAGCGCAGCGAAGCTGCCAGACGACGTGCCCAAGAAGATGTGCAGAATGAAGAGCAAGCAGCCAGATGCGCGAGCAGCAGTGCAAAGCGCGAGCTTCCTGACGAGCGAGTCCCTTCCCGTCTGCTGCTCATGCTCGGCGCTCGCTGCAAGCCATCTCGTGCGAACGCGAGCAGCACAGCCGGCCCCTGCACGAGGCAGCCTGGCAAGGAAGTACACTTGCGAACTTAGATGCGAGGCTACCAAGCATGGCAGCAGATGCCGCGAGCGAGTCGCTGCCACATGCAGCTGGCAAAGGTCGCACTCGCTCGACTTGCGTCTAGAAGGGTCGCAGCGAAGAGAAGCGGGGCGAGACATGCTGCTCAGCCGCGCCAACGCTGAGCAAAGCGACAACACAGACTCTCGCTCGCGCCCACGCGCTCTGCGCCGAGTCCTGCCCACTCCCTCGCCGCGGCCCCGGGCTGCGAGAGCCTCCTCGCGCCAGCGATGCAGTGAGAGAAGGCAACAGCGCCAAGAGAGCGAAGCAGAGCAGCAGCGATGGCGCAGTGCGTGCCAGCTCCACGCTGCGCTCGCAGCTCAACAGCAGCCCTGGCAGTGCATGCGAGGTACATGGCTGCGAGAGCTACGCACTAGCGCAAAAAGCCAGAGCTCGGGAGCGCAGCAAGCCTCGCGCAGCCGCCGTAGCACACGCAGAGCGCAGCAGACCTCATGCGCCAGCCGCGGTACACGCATGCGGCGAGGCAGTGGCAACAGCAAGATCCAGAAGCACCTCTCGCAGCGACGAGACGCAGCGGCAAGGAGCCGGCGAAGCGCACGACAACGGCCTAGCGCAGCAAGCGCTGGCATCGCGCAGCCAGCCTCGCAGCATCGCGAACGGCAGCAAGAAGCATGTCCCGCCCTTCGGGCCCTCGCACGTCCGCATCGCAGGCGACTCACGTTCTCCGCGCCCACAATCGGCACCTTCTCCTCCTCGCCGCCGCGCCACTTTGCCTTCTCGAGCGGGTCGAAGCCGAGCAGGCGCCGCACCTCGGGCGCGTAGCGGTAGCGCTTCGGCGGCCCTGCCTCGAGAATGACGCGCGGCGGCGGCGGGCCAGGCAGGCTGGCCTCGATGGCGGCGACGCCCGGGTTGGGCAGGCGCTGCGCCGGACGCTCCCAGCTCGTCTTGAAGGCGCTCGACTTCGGCTTCGGCGGCGCGTCCTTGGGGTACGGCGGGCGCTGCCTCTTGTACCGGGCGTCGTCGAAGTGCTCGGGCTGCTTTGCGGAGCGGCGCACGGGCGGCGGCGACGGCTCGCGCGGCGGCTGCGGCCCCTCGCTGGTGGCGAAGCGGCGCTTGCGGATGACGGGCGGCCCCGGCAGCGGGTCACGCAGCGCGGGCGGCAGCGGCTTCTCCTTCGTCTTGCCGGCCAGCGCCGCCGCGACGGCAGCAGCCAAGAGCTCGTCGGCGCGCGGAATGCGGCGCGGATGCAGGTAGGGGATGCCGTCGTCGTCGTGCGTGCGCATCTCGCACGGCTCGGGCGAGGGTGTCTCGCGTGCGACGAGGCGGCGTGCGGACATGGCGTGTGTGTGTGATAAGGTGATGGTGGTGCGGAGTGAAGCTGCCGGCGCTGCGTGGAGGGCGGGCTGGCCGGCGGCGAGAGCAACACGCGCGCGCGTCGCGTCACAGGGGCGCCAGGCACGCGTAGAGTGCCGCGGCGGCGCAACACTGGCGCAGTGCCTTCGCCTGCGCGCGCGCCGGCCTGGCTGGAAGCCGCGAAGAGGCCGGGCCGGCCGGCCGCGGATCGGGAATTTCTCACTTCGGCGCGCCGCGAAGGTCGCTCGGCCAGCAGCGCACGTGCGGCGGCGTGTCTCCTGTCTCCTCACCACCACCACCACCACCCACGCATCGCAGCCATGGCCACGCAGTCCCACACGCACCGCACGCAGGCCGTGCTCTTCGACATGGACGGCACCCTCATCGACTCGACGCCGGCGGTGAATGCGACGTGGCGCGAGACGTGCACGCGCTTCGGCCTCGACTACGACGAGGTGGTGAGTGCCGCGGCGAGCGCTGCGGGAGAGGGAGCTGTGGCGGCAGAGGGCTAGAAGCTCGGCACTGGCATCCTCTGGCTATGCTGGCAAGTCGGTACCAGCGATAGGGCGCCGCTCTGCAGCGATGTGCGGCATTGCCGACAGCTCGGCGTCAGCGTCGCGCCAGAGATGCGGCAAGGACGGGATCGCCCAGCCGCGGCACTTTCCTCTGGCGATCACGCCGGCGAACAGCAGTGAAGAGCAGCAGCAGCGCGAGCGCTTCGGGCGGAGCACGCAGCACTCGGCACGGAAGGGCAAGGGGTTGGCTTGTCAGCGGCTCCGCGTCGCTCGTGCTGTTGGATGCCTTGAGCCCGGAGCTCGCTTGAGAGCTTGGCGCCGCTGCTCCTGACCGAACGGGTCTCGCCTGCCAGCATCGATGCTGCAGCATTGTGGCTTGCGCAAGGCCGCAGATCCTGCGGTTTGCTCCCTCACACGCTGCGCCGCGCTGTCATATGCAGCAGTCTCCGCGCTTGGCCGATTGCTATCGAAGCGGTGTCGCTTCCGCTTTCTGCTTCTGGCCTGTTGGTTCGCCTGGCCTCAGCTCATGCCGCTACTCCACAGCTCAAGACGTGCCACGGCTGGCGCACGATTGAGAACCTGGCGCGCTTCGTGCCCAGCATCCCCGCCGAGGAGCTGCCGGCCGAGGTGGCCAAGTTTGAGGGGCGCATCTCCGAGATGGCGCAGGAAGCGGCGGCAGGCAAGCGCGACGAGGGCCACATTGTGGGCATGCCGGGCGCCAAGCAGCTGCTGCAACAGGTGAGTGGACGCTGGCGGTGTGAAGACGTAGCAGAAGGCGGGAGCGCAGAGACGAGGGACAGCGACGGGCCGAGACAAAGGTGCAAGAGGACGGCGGCTGAGGCAAAGCGAGGCGCGATTGAAGGTCGCAGAGCGGACTCGCAGCACTTCGGCTCAGCGCGTGCATCTGAAGAAGCGGCGCAGCGTCGCGCCTCGCGAGCACTGCTTCGCTGCTGCACGACACAAGGCTCCTCGCGCTTGACGTGGCCAGCAGCAGCTGGAGTCGGACAGCTCGACTGCGACTGCGTCGCGCTCATGGTGCGAAGAGCGGCCAGGTCTTTGCGCCGGCGCGCTGGCGCTTGAGGCGCTGGCCACAGCGCTTCCAGCGCGCAAGCTGCTCATCGACCAATGCTCTCGCTGCGCTCATCAGCGTAGCAGCTGCGTGAGCAGCACGATGCACGGCGCACCTGCGTCTTCCTCTCGCACGCATTGCTCACCGCTCTGTCCGCAGATCTCGGCCGGTGATCACGCGCGGCCGGGCTGGGCGATCGTCACGTCGGCCACGGCCGCGTACGCGCACGTGGGCTTTGCGTCGGCAGCGCTGTGTGCGCCGCCGCAGCACTTCATCACGGGCGACATCTGTGCGCGCGGCAAGCCGGACCCGCTGCCGTACCTGCTGGGCGCGGAGCGCGTCGGCGTCGATGCCAAGCGCTGCGTCGTCGTCGAGGACGCGCCGGCCGGCGTGCGCTCTGGCCGTGCGGCCGGCGCTCACGTCATCGGCCTCTGCACGACGCACGCCGAGCGCAGCATGTGGGAGGCCGGCGCCGACTGGGTCGTGCAGGACCTGGCGAGCGTGTCGGCTGCGTGGGAAGGCGATGAGCTGGTGCTGAGCATTGACGGGCGGCAACGGCCGGCAGACGTCGCGGCGCCGCAGCACGCATAGAGCTTGTAGACATGGAGGTGCAGATGCAATGCCGTAGACATAGACTGCAAGAAAATATGCGAGACGAAACGCAGGATGCAGCGGGAGGAGGAGGGGTGATGGATGCTCTGGCTGTTCCCACGCGTTCGGCTCCGCCCCTCCACATCGGCGCGCGCCATGTCAGCACGCTGGCGGAGCAGGCCGCGTTCTTCGCGCCGCGCGCCTCGCTCCTTCTCACCACCACACCCTCGTCTGCCTGCTCTCGCTCTCTTCGCTCCGGCCACGTCTCTGCTCTCAGCTCTTGAGCGCCTGCACTCGCGCAGCCACAGCGCACAGGCAGCGAGAAGGCGCGCTTCTTCGCTCGCCCAGGCAGACGCGACAGCTTAGCGGCAAGGCGCATCAGAGCGTGCCTCACTGGAGCACAGAGCGCAGCAATTTTGCATCGTGCTGCGCAGTCCAGGCTCAGGTGAGTGAGCGTGCAGATCTGCGAGCGGTGTACGTGCTTTGGAAGCAGGGAGCAGGCCCAGCGGGGTCTAGTCGCAGCGACGGCACCCATGCGTCTCGCATCGGCTCAGCTCGGCTGCGCTGTCCTTGTGGCTCCCAGCACTTCGCCGCGTCTGCTGCAGCAGAGGCAGAGCGCTGAAGTGCTGGGGAGTGCAAGAGATGGAGGCCAGCTGTGGGCAGCGCCTTGAAGGGTCAGGGCTGCGCGGGGCTCAGGCGCCTTGCCTGCTCGAGTCGCTGTGCGCAGCCGCAGCTGCGAGCTGCGGCTGCGGCTGGAGCAACTAGCGTTGCAAATGCTGGTGCGCAAAGGGCATGCGCAGATGCGTCTGACGCCAAGGCGAGCGCCACGGCTGCAGTCGTCGGCGGCGCTCGCGCCTACACCCTTGTCCGGGCGGCCAGAGAGCCGCTAGAGCGCACGCTACTTGCACACGCGCAGAATGCTGGCGTAATGAACGTGCAGCTGGGCCCTCGTGCTACCGACCTGGGCTCGCCGCAAGGCCGCCCGAGGTCCGATCGTAGCGCTGACAATCCGTTGTCAACGGGGCTGATTTGGCAGACCAGAGTGCGGCGCGTGGAAGAAGGTCTCGCGACGCTGCTTGATCTCTGCGCTTCTTCGCGACGGTGCTGACGCTCGTGCGCTCAGCTTCTTCCTTTTTGGCATCTTTTCTCGCTTCCTTCCGTCGGAGCACCAGTTCCTTCGCAATGCGCATCAGCATTCCTTCCATCCCGGTCTCGGCGCCGCGCGACCGCGTGCAGCACACGCTCGAGGCCGGCGCGGCGCTCGTGGCAGACTTCTTGAGCGCAGGCGCGGGCAAGACGCTAGTCATGACCGGTGCGTGCCTTCCCCACAGCGCTTCTGCGCACGCCAAGCAGCGCGCTTACCCTTCGTCTAGGCGCGGGCGTCTCGGTCGACTCTGGCATCGCGCCGTATCGCGGCGAGAATGGGCACTACAGTGCGTGTGCTCCGCTGCGCACGCCCGTTGCGCCGAGCTGATGTGATCCGTTCGTCAGCTGTGCACACGACGTATCGGCCAATCTTCTTCCACGAGTTCACCGATGCGTCAGACAAGGGCCACGTCGCGCGGTCAGTCTGCTTCTGAGGCGACGTGCCGGCGGAACTGCGAGCTGATCTGCGAGCACCTCGATGCAGGCAGCGATACTGGTCGCGCTCTTTCCTTGGGTGAGTAGCTCGTGCTCGGCGCTGCTTGTGGCTCAGCTCACCCAAACACTCTGCTAGATACCCGCCTGTCTGTGCGTGCAAGCCCTTCGGAGATTCTTGCGAACGCGGCTGATCGCGCTTCTGCAGTGAGAGCGAAGCCAAACGTGACGCACTACTCGCTGGCTGCGCTTCAGCGCATGGGTCACTTTGGCGACTTCATCACGCAGGCGAGTCGTGCAGCCAGCTGCTGAAGCAGCGTGCTTGCTCTTGCGCCGCGGCTGACGAGCTGCCTGCTCCAGAACGTCGACAGCCTGCACCACCACGCTTCGCCCTCTCCATCGCTTGCCGCGTCTACAATCCTCGAGCTGCATGGTGCGCTCGACCGTCTGTGTCGCCGTCTGTCGTCGCTCATGCACGTTCCTCAGGCACGCTGTCCTCCGTCGTCTGCGTCTCCTCGCCCGGTGCTCGCTCGACACCAATAGACGCCAGCGCGCACTCCTACCTCACCTCCTCGCACATGTCCGGGCCGCGCCGCGCAGCACCAATAGCGCACAACACGCCAACCGGCTCGGCGTATCCGCACGGCTGCGGCTTCCGTGGCAGTCGGCCAGCCTACCAGGCCATGCTGGGCGATGCCAATCCGCAATGGCAGCGCATGGCCGAGGACATGGCGGCGCGGCGCTCGGAGCCAAAGACGAATCCGGACGGTGACGTGCGTCCGTTGCGTTTTGCTGCGCTCCGCTCTGGCTCACTCTCGTACCCAGGTGGAGCTGAGCAAGGACACAGACTACAGCTCGTTCAAGTACGCGCCGTGTCCCTCGTGTGGAGGGATCCTGAAGCCGTGCGTATAACCACGAGCTCCGCTTCGATCTTTGCTGACTCGCCGCCCTGCAGTGCCGTCATCTTGTGCGTCGATGCTAGATCAGCTCTTCGCGTGCGCAAGCAGCTGACTTTCCATCGCACAGCTTCGGCGAGTCGGTGCCGGATCAGCTGCGCGACCGCTCCTTCGAGCTCGTCGAGAAGGCGTCGCAGATGCTCGTCGTCGGTTCGTCGACGGCAACGTACTCGGCGTATCGCCTCGTGCGCGCAATGGCCGAGTCCGGGCGGAAAGTGATGGTGCTCAACATCGTGAGTCCTGTCGGTTGCGCTCCTGCGACGTCGTGCTGAGCCTTCTCCAGGGCCCGACACGCGCCGATGGGCTCGACATTGAGAAGGTCGAGCTGGGCTCGTCCGAGACGCTCGGCCTCGCAGCCAAGCAGCTGGCTGCAAAGGGACCCCTCCGAGACGACCCGGTGCTGCGTCGTCTGCTCGAGAGCGGCGGTGTGGCGCGCGTGCCGAATGACCATCGCGTCGCCGCGAGCTAGACTTGAAGAGGAAAGGGGAACACGCAATGCATAAATCGGACTCCGTCGCAGGCAGCGGCGTTCCAGACAGCACAGCTGCTGCGTGACTTCGTGGCGCCTTGCTCGCTGCAGTCATACCGTGCACGGCGAAGCGCGATGTGATGCATTGCAACGTCGAGCGGAGATCCACAGGATCAGCAGCCGCCGGTACTAGCCAAAAAGTGAGGGATCGACGAGCAGCGACGGCGAGGCTCGCGGTCGGAGGCACGCCCGTACACCAGCCTCGGGCAGCAGCACCACGCTCCGCCGACACGCACCTCGGCCGCCATCTCCTGCGCCCAGCTCTGCGAGGTGCCCACCAGGCGATGCCCGGGTTTACGGCCCTACGCACGCAGAGAGATGGCAGCCTGGGCTCGCGGTCTTGGTAGGACGACGTGGTGCTCGCCAACGTGGCGCCCTCCAGATTCGAGCTGCAGCGCCGCTCGAGTCCGACGACAGCCATCGAGGCAGCGAAACTTGCGGCCTTCATTCAGCGAGGCCTCGCCGCCGCACTCACTTTCGTCGGCCTTATGCCCGGAGTATCACTAGCTCGAGTCGAGCATTCGCCTCTGCGCAGACGGAGGCAGCCCTACGTCCAAGACTGCTCCCGCTGGGCGGCGCGCGAGAGATGAAGATCGTTTCCATTGGCAGCGCAAGAAGCAGGCCTCGGCACAGCCGAGAGCCCCGCAAGGGGTCCAAAACGTCAGGGCCTGAGGTGTTGAACCGGCCACTTTGCCACAGGGAATTAGCGCATCCCCCGCACAGTGCTGCCCAAGGGACTACCGCAGAGCTCAGGGCGGCGCTCTTGTGCTGTCATACGCGTGGCAAAAATGCACACCGTACTCGCTCCTGCACTCCGCAAACTAGCCTTTGTTTGAGAGATCCGCAAATGTTGAGTGCGACATCAGACAACTAGGGGGGCATTGCACCCGGGCTAGCACCGTAGTACTAGCTCCAGTATGCTTTGAAAATCCCGCTGGAGCTCCACGTGCCCGCCGCACGGCCGTGGGCCAGGAGTCTGAGGCCTGGGGATGGCGGAGGGCGAGCAGTAAACACTGCAGGAGGGGGGGTGTGGCTGGGATGGAAGAGTGGCTGTCGGCTGTCGGAGGAGGGCGAGAGTGTGAGCGAGAGGAATGGGGCGGCGCATGTCACGTCTCTCTTTATAGGCGTGTCGCAACGGCGCCGCGTCGTTTGCTTTGCCACGAGCAGTCCGACCGTGCAGCGGAAGCAGGAACGGAGGCATCTGTGACTGAGATGAGCGAGCGATGGGCGGCCTAAGCGCACGGCTTGGCGAGCGTCATGCCGGAGGGGCTCGAGCGCAACAAGTGCGCGACGCGAATGTGATGGCGGCCCGAGCGCCGTGCGCCTCCGTCCGGGCGCATCGTCTGCTGGCTCAAGGGAAGTGAAGCGAGAGAGGGAGCCGAGGAGCTCAAGACACATCCTGCGACAGAGCGCGTCTTCGATCGCCTGTCACTCACGCTGCCGCAGGCTGGGGCCCATTCCCTCGCGCTCGCGCCACCGGACGCTGGGTGTGCACAGGCCGCGGCAGGTGTCCTGCCCTTCCCAGCTGCGCTAGACCGCGTGCGCTGGACGCCGTGAATGGCGCACCTCTCAGTCTGCACGTCGCTCTGCGCGTTGAAAGCATTCCATTCTCACCGCCGCAATCTACAGCGTTGCCGGGCGAGACAGTCGGTGCAGCGCTCGCTCATGATGATGCCGGCAGCAGCTTGAGCGAGAAGTCGACGTGCTGCGTCGACTGGTGGATCGCCGAGGTGCTGATGATGTCGATCGCTGCACGATGCCTCGTCAGCGCCTCCTCGCACTCCTCATCGCCACCAAGACTCACCATCGTCCACATGCCCATCCTTCACGTTGCCCAGCTCAATGCCGCCGCTGCTCTCGAGCAAGAACTGTCGCCCAGCGTTGGCGTACTTCTCCTTGAGGCCGCGTGCGTTGTCGATGAGCGTCTGGCCCTCCATGTTGTCGAGCATGATGACGTCTGCGCCTGCCTCGATGGCCTCGCATGCCTCCTGCACCGACTGCACCTCGACGTCGATGCGCAGCGAGAAGCCGGCGACGCTGCGTGCGGAGGCGACGGCGGCAGGGACGGATCCTGAAGCAGCGAGGAGAATGAGCCAGTGGCCGTGCGGAGATGCACATCGCCGCCATCACTCGCAGCGTGCGCGTACTCACCAGTGCTCCAGATGTGGTTGTCCTTGAGCATGACCATCGAGCTGAGGTCGTAGCGGTGCGCGTCGACGCCGCCGACCAGCATGCCGTACTTCTCAACGAGGCGGAAGCCTGGCGTATGAAGATATCAGCGGCAGTCCGATAGGGAGGGCGAGAGCGACAGCCGGGCCGCAGCTGTGCGGCACGCCTGCGGGCCCGATGCGACAACATGGAGCCGCGTTCGCAGTAGCTGCTGGCCCCAGCGGCGCGGCTGCGAGTCTGACGAGGGTACAGCTTCGCCTTGATGCCCGCTCTGAGCTGACAAGCCCGCTCTGAGCTGACAAAGTCCGCAGCCTGGTCCACTCTCGAGTCCCGACGCTCAACTCGAGCATCGTCCCGCCCTGCAGGCTGCCGGAGCGCGCCGGCCGTGCCCCACAGTCCTCCATCCGCTGCAAATCGCTGTGCATACAGGCATCACCCAGCTCCACACACGCTTCTCACTCACCCGGCGTCGTCTTGCGCGTGCCCGCCACGATGCCCTTGAAGCCCGCGGCGCGCGCAGCATCGAGGAAGCGGCGCGATCTGCGCACGCGACAGAGCGATAGGCAGACGCGAGCAGAGGAAGCAGAGGTCAGCAAGACGTCGAACTGCAGCGCGAGGAGTGGTGCGCCGCAAAAGCGTCGGCCTGCGCCATAGCAGGTGCACCCGAGCCCGCCGCACGCATAGGCGTAGCTGCCTCCAGTACAACCAGCCGCCAGCGCTGCGTGCCTCGCGCCACCGGCACTCTGCCTCGCACAGCCGCTCTCTGCCTTACTGGCATGCCCCACTCGCACACACTTCGCCTCGCACATGTACTCACGCAGTCGCGATGCCCGAGCAGCGTGCAAGCGTGTTGAGCGCCACGCGCTCGCCCAGGAGCAGCTTCCTCGCCTCGCCCTTGACCGTCGCCACCTTGACCTTCTCTCCCTTCTTGCCCACCTCGCTGCCCTCCTCCACAAACCACTGCACCTCGCACCCGAGCACGCGGAAGACCTCGTCGAAGAACGGCCGGCCCGCCAGAATGCCGGCGCTCTTGGCCCAGAGCGTCGCCTCGCGCGGCGCAGAGCCGACGACGAAGCCGCCGTAGTCGAACGACGGACAGTCCTCGGCGAGCCACTGCGGGATCACCTGGGCCCACGATGGCGGCAGCAGGTCGGCGAAGTTGGCGGCGCTCGAGGTGGACATGATGAGGCGGTGGAGGAGGTGGTGGTGCGGAGGAAGGAAGCAACGCGCGACGTCGACGCCGCTTGAGGCTGGCGCGCGGCGGCGCACGTCCCGATTCCCGCCGCGCCGCTGCCGCCGCCGCCGGCTCAGGGTCCAGGCTCGCCGCCTTGCCACCTCACAGCTCTCGCTGCCGCTGCCTCACTGCTCGCAACGAGCTTTGCACTTCAAAATTTTGCACCACTGCCGCTTCGCATGCTGCCTAGGCGCTGGCCGCTTTGATGGTATCTAGATTGTCTGATGCTCCGCCTGATGCGCTTCCGCCTCACCACGCGTGCTCCACATACTCCCGCCACGTCCACATTTCCGGGTGCACCTCTTTGCACTTTGCGATGTCTGCGCTGAATCCAGGCTGACAGATGGAGCAGTCAGCGATCAGCGTGCGGCATATGGGACGCAGAGAGTGTGGCTCACGTCGTTGAAGAACTGCGCGCGCATGAGTGCTCAGCCATGGCGCTACGCAGGATGCAGCACGTTTGACTCACGTTGAACATGGTGCGCAGCGGCGCCACACTCTTGACGAGGGCGAGACCGAGGAAGGAATTCGTGCTCGGCAGGGCGGTGCCCTTGACCCGCTTGAACTGCGAGCGGAGCAATGGCGTCAGCTACAGGCTCCTGGGGGCTCCACATTCGCTTCGCACCTGCTCCGCCATCTCCTTGACGCTCAGCTCGTCGCCCGCCAGCGCCAGTGTCTTGCCGTGCCACTCCTGCGGCGCAGCAAAGGCCTTTGCAGCGACGATGCCGATGTCGCGACACGCCACGAGCTGCAGTGGACGCTTGACGCACGCGTTGAGCGCGGCCGCAAAGAGCTTGGAGGAGTAGCCGTAGTCGCCGAGATTGTCCTGTGCAGCAGAGAGTCAGCGGCTGCGGAATGAAGGGTAGGGCGACACGTACGGCGAAGAAGACGGGACGTAAGATGGCGCACGGTAGCGTCGGGTGCTTGTCGGCGATGTACTGCTCGATGGCGCGCTTCGACTCAAAGTGCACGATGTCTAGCATGGCATCGATTAGCGGACGCCGCACGGCGCACTGGCACACCGACGCACCTGTCTTGTCGACGTCTCCACGCTGCACGCTGGCGTAGACGAAGAGGCCCACGTGCGCCTTTGCCGCCTCATCGGCCATCGCACAGCCGAGCGCCACCTCGGCCTCGAAGGTAGTGTCGGCCGAGAGCTGCACGGAGAAGACGCCGTCGAGGCGCTGGCCGTGCTGCTGCGCCTTGGCAAAGAGCGCCGCAGCATCGTACGGCGTCTCGAGCAGCGTCACGCCCGGCAGTGCCGCGAGTGCAGAAGCCTTGGCCGACGAGGCATCGCGTGTGCAGCCGAGGACGGCGAAGCGGGTGTGCTCGGCGCTGTTGTGCGCTGCCAGTGCCCGCACGACGGCCGAGCCCTGCTTGCCCGTGGCGAGCGCGACGAGGATGCGCTGTGGCGCTGCGGTGGCGCTGCTTGATGTGTCGGCCATAGTGCGATGTGGTGGAGCGGAAGGTGGCACGGGCCGCTTGACGGAGCGGCCCCTCGAGGGCGAGGTCGAGGGCGCGTGGGCCGCTCGCGCCGGAGGCTATTTTGGGCGCGGCTTCCGCGGAAGCGCGTAAAGTGCGGCGAGGCGGTGCTGAAAGCTCGGGCCGCGCGCGCCGGCATCGGGCGTGTTGCTCTGTGACGTGTTGCTCTCTGCGCCTGCGTCTGCTCGCCATCGCCGCGGCCGTCTGAGGCTGTCATGCCTGGACATCGGCTATTATGCGCAGCGCAAGCTCAAGTGCAGGGCCCCAGCCATTTTTGGTGCAGCTCTGGAGCCAAGGCGCTTTGCAAATGCGGCCTCGAGCAGAGCCTGGCGGACGCGAGTACATCGCGACGCGACTGCACAGGCAGCTGCGAGGACGCGCCGCCTTGCCTCAAAAGGCAGCTTCTGCCTTGGCCGTCCTTCCTCCTCTTCTCCCACACACCTCGTCTCTGGTCTCAACTTCTTTGACCTGCCTCTCAGCTCTGCACTGTCGCTTCCAGCTCCTGGCCTCCTCACACACCTCCAAGCTCTCCTTCGCCATGGACACCGCCATGCCCAGCGCGCCCGACACGCCTGCTGCGCCCGCTGCGGCCGCCGCTCCGTCCGCACCTGCCGCGGCTGCCGGGGCCATGGCCGGCATGGCAGTCTCCGTCACGTCGTCCGATGACCAAGTTGGATATGCTGCGTCGGATGATGAGATGGTGCGTGTCTCGCTCTAGGGCTCTGTGATGTATATCTAGTCTTCGTCTGTACCTGCGCATGTGCACTGCGCTTGCCTAAGACTGTGTCGCTCTTTCGCATGTGCGCTCTTGACTTGCTTGAAACCGCGCGCCAATCGCCCCGTCTAAGCATCCACGCTGACGCCCTTTACCAAGCAGAGCAGCAATAGCAGCGACGTCTTCGACGAGCGTAGGATCGAGGCTGATTTGGCAAACGATCTCTGGCGCGCCATCTGAAGCCGGCAGAGATTCTGCGCGAGGTATCCATCCTCTGTCTCTCCGCTCACAAGCGCCTGCTAGACGACGGCGACGTTCCCAACGCGTGGTCGGCCAACTTGCTCGCCGACCAAGCGGCAGCTCTGGGAAAGAGCGCCGCACGCGCGAGCAATGACGGCATTGCGCCTGTGAACATGGCTCACTCGCCCGAGATCGGTTCGCTGCTCCAGCATCTCAAGTATGACCGCGAGGACACGGTCGATGAGGCGCGCAGCATCGCGTTCGAAGCCATCGGCGACGTCCTTCCCAAGAACGGTGGCATTCTCGCTCGCCTCAAGCCGGAGTTTCAGTCAGAGGAGGAGCGCCTCGTGCGTTTCAACGACTTCATGCGTCACATGTGCGAGTACTCGTTCGACAACCTCTTTGCCGCGCTGGACTACCTCGAGTCCGTCGTCGACGGCTAGTCGCGTCTAGTCGGACTCGAGCCGCTGGTCAATTGCAGTCAGTGTCGCAGTGGAGCATGCGGGCGGGAAGGGAGCGGGAGGGAGCGCGATGAGCCCGAGCAACGTCGACGAAATGCGAGCAATGACACACTCCATCACCACTGACTCTCGAGCTGCGTCGCTGAATCTTCCGCTAAGCTGGCGAGCCCGCAGCGAGAGGCCGCTCGCTCTCGACGGCGCCAGTGTATGATCGTGCGAGCACGATTCCAAGCGGCGTGTGCCCGATGCTGCTCTTCGGGCGTGAGCCGATGAAGTCGAGTGCCAAGGCGGCGGCAACGCCCCTGTCTTACGCGCACGCGCGCAGCCGTCAGGCAGCACTCACGACTCATGCGCGTCCTTCCCTTCACACCACCACACCGTCCCAGTTTGGCTGCTCTGCACCCACATCTCGTCTTGCGCCTCCTCGTGTCACTGCTTAGTCCAGTCTTTGCATCGTCGTCGCCTTACGCCTTCAAGCTCCACTCCACACCTGCGCCATGCAGGCCTCCACGCCTGACGCGCCCGCCGACGCCATGGCCGGCCGCGCGGCCTCCGCCGCAGCGCATGCCCCTGTGCACGCCGTCAGTGGCCATGGGGCGTACGAGGAGATCGTGAGTTGGTTTCCGTGCCGAAGTGTTCTTTCGCACGTAGAGTCGGCTCGGTTGCGTCTGCGATATGCTGCCAAGCCCGTCGGCATCTGCACTGCGCCTCGTTCAGGCATACACATGCTGCGAAGCTTGTCCGCGTCTATGCCTGAGCTTGCGTGTGTGCTCCTCTCGCATACTTCTGCGACTCGCGTACACGCCTCGGCCGTGCGCTGCCGAGCTCTTCTGCATCTGGACTTTGCTCGCCGTGTGCATGCGCTCGGCTCGCCCGACGTCGCATCTGTCGCATACGAGCTGACGTCCTTCATCTACCAGGGTGACCCCAACCATGACCTGCATTATGCCACTCCCGCAATGCCGCACGCGGATGTGAACAGAGAGGTCGCCTCGGGAGACACCTGGCGCGAGATTCCCCTCCTCCTCCTCTGGCTCCACAAGGGACTGCTGATCCGCGGCGACGTCGCAGGCGCCTGGGAAGCCTTTGCACTGGCGGAGCAGGCTTTGGCGCTTGTCGACAAGGCGGAGTACTTCTGGGAGGAGGCCATCTTCAACGCTGAGTCGGTGAAGCCTACGTACTCGCCGCGCGTCGCCTCGCTGCTGGAGCGCCTCAACACCGACCGTCAGGCCACCATGCAGGAGGCACGCGACTACGCCTTCGAGGTCATCAGCGCTGCGCTCCCGCCTGGCCGCGACCGCGCGCCTCTCCATCTGGCCGACTTCCGCCTCCCCGAGGAGCGCGGCACGCTCAGCCGCCGGCAGCGCTTCGACGAGCTCGTGAAGTCCTTCTGCCAACGCTCATTCGACAACTTCATCGCCGCGCTGCACTACTTCGGAGATGTGGACGGCTAGTCAAGTGCGGCCGTGGCGAGGCTTGCGGGTGGGAGAGATGCGATGAGATGCGAGCAATGACACCACTACTCTTGCGCTGCAACGCTGTGCCTGTTCGCGGTGATGCTGGGTCGAGAGAAGAGCAAGCCCAGTCTGGCCAGCTCATACGCTTAGCAGTCGTCGAAGCGGCTCTGTTCTCCTGCGATGATGCATCGAGAGAATGCTTTGCTTCGTCTCGTCTTGCTGCACGGCGAGGCTCTATCGGCAACAGACATGTGCGGCGACACGAGCGCGACCGCGGCCTTGCCCCTGTCCCGTGCGCTTCTCGTCATGTCGTGGAGCGCCGCGCGCGCGTCCTTGCCTTCCCACCACCACATCACCGCGCATCTCGCAAGCTCGCTCTGCATCTGCAACTCGTCGTGCAGCACGTCCTACCTCGGCGCCGTCTCTCCTCCTCCGCCGTCGACTTCTTCTTCACCCCTCTCATTCGCCGCTGCTTCCACGCGCGCGTCCCCGTCGATCAGCACTTCTGCGCCTGCCATGTCCGTTCTGGGGGCACCCCCCACGCACTCGGCCGGGCCGAAGAAGAACAGGCTGCATCAGGTTCCTCCTCGGCGAGGGCGTGCGGCACAGCAAATGCCCCAGGAGCCGCCGCCGCCGCTGCAGCCGCCAGCGCCGCAGCAGCAGCAGCATCGCCCGATGCCGCCGTTTCATCCGCTGCCGCTGCGTCCGGCGGTTCAGCAAAGGGATGAGCAGCAGCAGCAGCAGCAGCAGCAGCAGTTGCGCGTGCCAGCTGGTCGTGCGGCGGGCGGTGAGCTCGCCAACGCACTGCAGCAGCCGGAAGTGCCCGCCGCAAAGAAGGTAAGTGGCCTTGCCTCTCCCTGATCCTTCTTTGCCTCAACATGTTCTGCTCTGTGACCCGTATGCGTGCGCTGACGCCTAGTTCGGCCCGACAGCAGGCTCGTGCCGCACCTGACGCGCCGCTCGCTCAAGGCTCGGGAGCAGCGACGGGAGTGGCTCAAGCGGCCAACCCCGAGGATCAGCGCAGTGCTGAGGTCAAGAAGGCCGAGAGGAAGAGACGCAAGGCCGAGGACCGTGCAGTCAAGCACCGCACCACCGAGCTAGAAGCGATCGAGGCGCGTGCTGCCGAGCTCCGGGCGGCGAACGAGCGTGCTGCTGAGCTGCGTGCGGCAGAGGAGCAGGCGGATGCAGCAGAGCAGCGTGCTGCCGAGCGGAAGGACAAGGCCGAGGCCAAGGCTCTGGCCGCCGCTGAGAAGGAACGCGCCGCCAAGAAGCTTGCCGCGACTGCTGCGAGGAAGGCGCGCGCATCCGACGGTGCCCAGGATGCCGGTGCTGGACCATCTGCGGCTGCTGCTGGCGCTCTTGCTGCTTCCGCTCCGGCCCCTGCCCCTGCTCCGGCTCGAGCTCCTACGCCTGCTCCGGCTCGCGCACCTGCGCCTGCTCGAGGTCGAGCTCCTACACCTGCGCCTGCTCGCGCTCCTGCACCTGCACCTGCTCATGCTCCTGCTCCCGGCCCTGCTCCAGGCGCATCTGCTGGCGCTCCGGCTGTCGTGCATCGCCAGGGCTCTCCCGACAAGGGGGAAGGATCATCGGGCAACGTCAAGCGAGAGCGCTCGACAAGCGTGGAGTATAGCCTCGACGTCTCGAAGAAGAAGAAGCGCTCTAAGGCTCGCCAGGCGGCCGCCGCCGCTGATGCTGACGTGAAACCGGTGCGTAGCGGCGGTTTCGTCGACCTATGTGGCGCTCATCATCCTCTCCGTCCCAGGAACTCGAGTGATGCTGCCACTCTTGCACAGGGCCCACGTATCTCACGTCGCAAGCTTTTCTTCATCTCTTCGCGTCCCTTCGCACCTGCGTCAGTCGGGCCGACCAGGGCACTGAGCACCTCAGCATGCTCGCTGACGCTGAGGTCGAGCTGGTGAGCGGGGTCGGTGTGACTCGCTTGTGTCGAAGCCACTGAGCTGAGCTGAGTCGTGCACAGGTGCAGTAGCCGGCACGCCGACAGATCGGCCCCTACACTCTTTACTCGTCACGCCACCCTCAGCTCTGGCGATCTCTAGTCTTCGCTCCACATCCCATCTGCGCCGCTGCACGCTATGCCCTCATGTCCTATGCACCTTCCCTCTCGCTACGCCAATCCACCACGAGCCACCACCCGCCGCACGCTTTTTCCGAGCCACCATGATCATGACCACCCTCTCAATGTGATCTGAAGCTTCCCTGCTCGCATCTGATACCGCTGCGTGTCGAGCAGATGAGCAACGCTTGGGCCGACTCCGCCGAGCGTGACCTGTGTCCAGGCGCGGCGAGTGCTGCTGAACACGCTGTCCCTGCCGCTCTCTCTTCAAGGCTACGCCTGAAGCTTCCAGGGGTTTCGCGAGACATCGTATCATATCCAGAGCAACATTTATATGAGCGAGACACCAGCAGAGAAAGGCGGCTGCGGCAGGGCGAGCAGACAAGCGGCTCGGGTGTCGGGCGTGTCACCGGCTGATCCGGACGCGCCGCGCGCGCCTCGCGTTGCCTTACGACAGGCTGCGCCAGCGTGCTCCTTCCCTCTCCTCCACCACCACCTTCGCCATCTCTCAACAAGCTCGCCTCTTCCTATTTGTCTTTCTTTCTCCACTTCACTCTCCGCATCATGACGTCCGGCCAGTGGGTGTGGCAGGAGTACCCGGCGCGCGGCGGCTTCTGGGTCTGGGACGCTGCGTGCCAGCGGCCGCTCTGGGCGCCCACGCCCGTGCCTACTCAGCCCGGCCCGCACGGCGAGTGGGGCTGGCAGCTCGCGGCGCCTCAGAGCCGCAAGCCGCAGGCTCAGCAGCAGCATGCGGCAGCTGCAGTGCCGCCTGCCACGTCTCGCGTGCCCGTCGGCCTGCCGCCCGGCATCGTGCTCGGCGGTGCGGCACAGCAGCTGCGTGCGCCAGCCGCACCCATGGTGAGTTGTCTTGTCTCAAGCTAGAACAATGTTCATGCATCGGTTTGGCTCGATGCGCCTGCGCGACCTGCCTCTCTCTCCACGATGGCCCGCGTTTATTTGCTGACCAGTCGAAGCAGCCGCAGGGCGGTTCTGCGGCGACTGGAGCCACGCTGGCCGAGGCGATCGACCTGGAAGCGGAGCAAATCAAGGCCAAGGCGCAGCGCAAGGCTGAGAAGAAAGCTGCTGCCAAGAAACGCAAGGCCGGAGATCGTGCGGCAGAGCAGCGTGCGGTGGAGCTGCGTGCGGTAGAAGCGCGTGCCGCCGAACTGCGCGCGCAGAGCGAGCGTTGGGCGGCCGAGAAGCGTGCTACGCAGCAGCGTGCCGCAGACCAGCTAGCTGTCCATGCCGAGCGCAAGGCCGCGGCGCAACGTGCCAGAGAGATGAAGCGCGAGACCGAGGACGACCAGATGCGCACCGACGAGCAGTTCGCCGCTCTCGCTGCTGAGGGCAACGAGCTGCCGATCGTCGAGGAGCCCGCCGCTCCCGCTGCTGCTCCTGCTGCCGTCGCGATGGCCGCCGTCGCTCAGCCGCGGTCGCTTCGGCTGCAGTCGTCCCGGCAGTTCTTGCCCGTGCGGCGTCGGCTCCGGCTCTCATTGCTCCCGCTGCGGATGCTCCTGCTGTTGGCGTGCTTGCTATGGGTGCTCCTGCTGCGGGAGCTCCTGCTGCGGAGGCCTCTGCTGTGGTCGCGCCGGCTGCTGAGGCTCCGGCTACGCATGCTCCAGCCGCGCGTCTTCCCGATCCCGACTTTGCTGTGTTCCGTTTGCCTCGCCGTGCTCCCGTCGCCGGCCCTCCTCCTCCTGCCGCCGATGTTCCTGCGCCTCGGACTCCTCCTGCCGCGCCGGCTGTCGTGCAGCGTGAAGCAGCCGACAAGGGCGAAGGCTCGTCGCGCGGCGTCAAGCGCGAGCGCTCGTCGAGCATCGAGTGGCTCAGCACCACGTCGAACAAGAAGACTGCCGAGCGTGCCCGTGCGCTCGCCGTCGTGATCAAGCCGGTGAGTAAGAGCCTCTGTATCGAAGCTTCTTGATGCTCATCCTCATTTACGACAGGAGCTGCTGTGGCTGGTCACTCTCGCACGGAGCCGGCGTGCTCCACATCAAGTCTTCGTCGTCCTCAAGTCTCGTCCTCCTCCAGTCTCGTCGTCCTCAAGTCTCTGAGCCTCCGTCTCCCTCGCGCCTCCATCATCTCCGCCAGTCGGGCCGACTCCTTCATGGGCCTCGCTTGCACATACCTCCGCAGCGTCACCCTCTCTCTTCACGCATCAGTTCTGTACAAGTAGCAGTCATGTCATTCGCCGCGTCGCCGAGCCTCGCACTCCTCAACACAATGAATCCTCTCACACTCGCGCGTGCTCAGGTGTACCACGTCGGCTCGGGCCAGCCGTCCTTGCCGGGCCCGTTGAGGGCGAAGCGGCCGACCTCGGCGCGCTTGTGTGCGATGGGGTCGTGCAGCGTGTGCGTGCGCAGGTCTCTGTACGCCGTGTCGAAGCCGTACTTGCCCGCGACGGACCGCGCGCCCTGGAACTCGTACACCTTGCTCGTCACCTCGAGGCCGAGGTCGGCGATGACGACCTTTGTCGCGGCCACCTGCACGGCCCACTGCGCACGCTGCTCCTCCGTGACGCTGGCGCGCGGCGCCGTGTGCAGCAGGCGCGCGCCGTGCTCGACGACGTTGGCAAACTGCGCCTCGGAGGCCCACAGGCGCGCCTGCAGCGTGCCGTAGCCGTCCTGGATGTACCACTCGTCCGTGCCGCGCGCGGCAGGCGACGGCGTGTAGGGCCAGCCGCGCGTGTTCTTCTTGGTGTACTCGAGGCCGCGCGCAAGGGCGCCCTGCGTGATGCCGACGTAGAAGGCGGTAAAGACGAGCTGTGTGAGAGGAGCGTCAGCCAAGGCATCGCATGTGTTGGGCTGAGCCGCGGCTCACCTGGATGGCCGGCAGCATGAGCGTGTTGTACGCGCCGATGGGCTGGAACTTGCGCTCGGCAAAGCCATACGCGTCGGCCCACGGCACCTCGACGTCGGTGATGGAGATGCCGCCGCTCTGAGTGCCGCGCATGCCCAGCGTGTCGACCCACTCGTCGCCGTACTTGATGCCGGCCTGCTTCGAGAGCACGGGCGCAAAGACGTGCGGCGCCGACGGGTCATCGACAAACGAGCCCTCGAGGATGCTGCATGGGTGCGCGTCAGAGTGCGTATGCGCGCAGGTCCGGCAGATCGCCACGCACGTAATGTCCGAGATCTTCGAGCCTGTCGAGAACGTCTTTTTGCCGTTGAAGACGATCTTCGTCGGGTCCGTGGGGTGCTGCGAGACGTGCAGGTCCGAGTCGCGCGCTGGGAAGGTGTCAGAGGAGCGCGCGCAGAGGCTCAAGAGGCTGGCTCACGGTTTACTGCGCCGCCGAGGAAGTACTTGTTCTTTGTGAGCCACTCCTGGATGCGCGGCACCTGCTCCTCGGTGCCGAGGATGGCAATGGCGTTGTACCAGATGAGCGAGTACCCGAGGCTGCAGGGCAAAGTGTGAGTGAGCGCCCACACGTGGCGCCCGCGGTGGCAGCGCACTCACAGCTGCGCGAGCGAGCCGTCGCCCTGCGCCACGATGCGCACGACATGGTACGCCTCCTTCCACGTCTGGCCGCCGCCGCCTGCGCTCTTAGGGCCGAGGATGGTCACGAGGCCCGCATCCTTGAGCAGCTGGACCTGCAGGCTCGGCCGCATTAATATGCTGCCACATGCTGCCTCTCTGGCATTGCACTCACCTGGCGGTGCGGCACGACGTTGCCGCGGTCGCGCACGGCCTCGTCGGCGTGCAGCAGGTCGGCCACCTGCTTGGCGCGCGCATAGAAGTCCTCGGGCGTGCTGAGCGGCGCCCAGGAGGTCGGGTACTGCACGAGCTCGGGGTCGGCCTGGATGCGGCTCGAGTTGGGCCCGGCGACGGGTGCCGGAGCAGACGCGGCGCTGGTGGCTGAGGGTGCCATGCTGTGAGGGGTGTGGGAGTGAGAGACAAGGTGAGGAGCGCGGAGAAGCAGCGCCGTGTCACTTTATGAGAAGCCCGCCGAGGGCATCGAACCACTCGGACGAGCTGCTTCTCGATCGTGTGTGCCTTCTCGAAGCCGCCTGCTGCACGGGAGCAGTGTGCTCGGACCATCATCCGAGAGTGAAGAGAAGCGGGTCCGCTCTCTGTCTTGTTCCCGAGCGCTCGGCGTGGGATGCCTGCGGCTGCTGGCGCGAGGCCGGCCGGAGGGCAGCCTCCTCGGCGCCGGCGCTCGGCCATGCGTCGAGCGTGCAGCAGGACAACTGCGCAGCGATGGGCTGCAGGGCGAGGAGCTGCAGCGTGCAGCACGGATGGCTCATCGGCCTGCGCGATGGCGAACATGCACTTGCCGCTCTTAATGGCGCCGGCGCCGCATGCCGGGGTGAGGAAGGGCGGCAGCGGCAAGCAGCGAGCGGCGCGCGTGGGAGCAGCACGCCGCGGAGGTGGCCCGAGCGCAAGCACGCCTTGCAGCCGCGCGCAATTGTTGTATTCCAAGCTTCAACTGGCGACCGCATCTGAGGCCGCACGCTGTATTCACGCCGCACGTGACGCGCCCCTGGCGCGCGTCCTGGGGCGGATGGCGTGCGCCGCGTGGGCGTTGCGTGCGCACCACCATCCTCTCTAGCCTCGCCGGCAAGCGCACGCGGCCGACCGTCGACGGCAATGGAGCAGGCGGGAGCCGCGACCGCCGGCGCACAGCGCGTGGAGATCTGCGCAGGCGCAAATTCGCACGGCTCGCAACTGTGAACGGCATCCCGCTGTGAGAGCATCACATGCAACGGCTCGCTGCGTGCGGGCCGGCGGCGCCTTGCCGTAGCGCGCGCTCCCGATTTGCTGCTGCTCGTGTGCCATTGAGAGCCTGCTGAGCAGGCGTGCAGGCTGCCATCCGCCTGGCCTTGCATCACGACTTGTGACTCTCGCCAGAGATCCGCGAGCTCCACACGCCTTCCTCACCTCCATCACCAGCCTCCTACACGTCGCCGCGATGGTCTCTGTGCTCGCCGCTCCCAGTCTCCCCCTGCGTGACGCCTCGGTGCTCAGCAGCGCCAGTGCATCTGCACAGAGCGCCGATCTCGCATGGGCGTACACCTCGCAGGCCGACGTGGTGCTGGGCGGCGGCTGGGACTACGACGAGGGTGCTGCGCCCGCCACGCCGCCTTATGTGCCTGATCCGCTGCCGTCGCGCGACGACGACGGATCAAGCAGCAGTGCCTCCTCGCGCAGCACCTCGCCCTCGCCGACGCCCACCTCGCCCGGCGAGAGCTCGGCGGCCGGCACTGCGGCAAAGACGCTCAGCTCGTCGGGCCTCCTTGTGCGCTCCACCACGCAGGGCTGGGAGCGCTCCTTCGACCTCAACTACGACTGGCCCGTGCCCGCCATTGCGGCGCCAGACGAGGTGCTGATCCGCAACGAGGTAGTCGGGCTCAACCCGGTCGACTTTAAGAGGTGCGTCGCCGCGAGCCTCTATGCCTTCCAACTGCGCTGACACGACAGCGGACAGCATTCTGTACAACTTTGGCATTCCCGACACGCCCTGGGTGCTCGGGCGCGATGTGATGGGCACGGTGCAGGCCGTCGGCAGTGCGGTGAGCGGCTTCTCGCCGGGCGATCGAGTGAGTGCATCGTGTAGCCATCTCTGGCGTCTGGAGCTGACCTCCGTCAAGGTCTGGACGTGCGCCGACTCGCGTGATCGCCGAGCGGGCGCCTACCAGACGCGCAGTGTCTCGCGCGCCGCGCATCTCTGCCACCTGCCTGCGTGTGTGTCGGACGACGAGGGCGCTACGCTCGGCACGGGCCTCGTCACCGCGGCCGTGTGTGCGTACTGGTTCCTGCGCCTGCCTGCGCCCGCGAGCCGCGGCGGCGACGTGCTTGTGGGCTCCAGTCGGCGCGGCAGTCAGGAACTCGGCGGACAGTGGCTGCTGTGAGTTGTCGTCCAGATGTGCGGCTGCCGAGGTCGGCCTGACAGTGATATCTTGCAGCGTGTACGGAGGCGGCGCAGTCACGGGCCAGTACATCTCGCAGCTCGCACACCTGGCCGGGCTCAGCGTGCTGGCCGTGGCCTCGCCGTCGAACTTCGAGCACCTGCGCACCTCAGCCGGCGTCTCGGCGTGCGTGGACCGGCATCTCGACGCCTCGCAGCAGCTGGCGCAGATCCGCGAGCTCACAGGCGGACGTCTGCGCTATGCCGTCGACTGCGTCGGAAGCAGTACGGCCACGCTGTGCGCGCAAGCACTGCAGCAGAGCGACGTACCCGACGTCGAGTTCATCGGCCTCGCCGGCAATCCCAAGCCGGTGGGCGAGGCGCAAAAGGAGATCAAGATCCACAAGATCAGCTTCTCCACCACAATCTACGGCGACGACGCGTTTGCGGCGCGCCTCTTTGAAGACCTCGCTGCGCTGCTTTCGACGCGGCAGCTGCTGCCTATGCGGCCCGTCGTTGTGCCGCACGGTCTCGCCGGCATTCGGTGCGTCTGACTCTTGACATGTGTCGAGACGAGCCCGCTCACGTTTGCTCCCCTCTCACAGTCGCGGACTGGAAGCGCTGCGCGACGGCACGGCGCCGCGGGCGCGCAAGCTCGTGGTGCGCCTCGGCGAGACGCCGCACCAGGACACGACGAACCTGGGCGTGCGCGCCGAGCTGTGCTGGAATGGCGTGGCGTAGCGCTGTGGTGGCACAGCGTGAGGAGCGACGCAACAAATCATCAGAGATGCCTCACACCCGAGCCTGAGGCTGTGCTCTGACGGGTGCGGGACTGATGCTTGACATCTCATCGCTGTACCCGCCGAGGCGGTGCACTTCGGAGCTTGGCGTACTTGTATGACACATGTGTGGGACAGCTGTGTGCTGCGGCGAGACGAGATGCTGAACGCCAAGAAGCCATCTGCGAAGTGGCGGTGCGGAATGCGTGGACACGATTTCGCCTCGGAGGCCGAAGCGAGAGCGCTCTTGCCGTTTGCCTCTCGGCTGAAATAGATGCGGCGTAGGCGGAATGTGCGCACAGCCGCTGCGGTCTTTCCAACGGCCCGCTCCTGTGCAGCGATGCAAAAGGGGTTCAAGCGGCAGTGCTTTCGCACGCCGATCGCGAGAGTCACAGCAGTGCAGGCCTCCGAGCTGCCCCTGGCCACGAGTCCGGGCACTTCCCTGCGGCGCCGGCTTTGGTCAAAAGCAAAGGCTTGACCTTGTGCATGCCCTAATCGTACAGAGGCTGCCGCTGGCGCAGAGAAATGCGGAGCGAGCTTGCCGTGAGCATCATCGGCGACCTCGCGTACTCACAACGGCAGCACGCCAGGAACGCGCGATGCGTAGCGCAGGGCCGCGCGCCGCCGCCGCGGAAAGCCCCCTGAGCCGTGCGCGCGGAGGCGCGCTCCGGCGGTGCAGCAGGCCGCACCAGGCACGCCTCCACTGCCCTGCGCCGCAGGCCGGTGCCCCGCATCACGAGCTTATGACGCCGAGAGGGCTCTTGGCCGCCGGAAATGCAGGCACAGCGTGCAGAAGAAGCCCTTGGAGGAATAAAGGGCTTCTGCCGCTCCGCCGCCCCTCCGCCGGCGGCTCGGATCAGAAGTGCGTCTCCGCCGGCCGTCGGCAGACGCCGCCCGCGCGCCCCACAGCCGCTGCACTGGGTGCCGCAGGTGCCATCGCTCGATGCGCTTGGCGGCGCCAGCCGCCAGAGGCGATTCGAGGCTGTGCTGCGCGCGCTCCGGGTGCCGCGTGGTGATGATCGACAGCCGATGGAACAGCCTATAAAGCCCGCTGCGTCGGCTCGTGTTCTCCAGCTCTCCACACCCATCTCTCCACAAGCAACCCATCCACCATGCGCGCTCACTTCGTCCTCCTCTTGCTCCTGCCCTTTGCACTCTCCACGCCGCTACCGCCCACTCCCTTCTCGCCGCAGCACTTGGCGCGTCAGAATCACGGCACCTGCGCCTCGTGCCTGCAGGGCTGCCAAGTCGATCCAGCAACGTGAGTGTGCCTCTTCTCAGGAGCCTCATGCGAGCCACACTGACCTGTGCGGCTGTACAGCGTGTGCGGCCCCGGCCCCAAGAGCAACTGCCCCACTGATCCGGCGCAGCAGATGGCGGTGAGTGGCCTCAGTCTCTCTCTCTGCACGATTGGTCGAGCCGACTAAGACGACATGCTGCACAGCTGTGCAAGGCATCCTGCCGTGATCAATCCGGCGTGGCTTGCTCGCCTGGCACCTCTCCCATCAAGCGTCAAAACAACGGCGCTCCTCAGCCCGTCACTGGCCAGTGTGTCGACCGTAACGGCGACGGTGATTGCCAGAACGCCACTGGCACGGGCACGGGCACGACTGGCACGGCGCAGTGCGTGGATCGGGATGGGGACGGGCAATGTGGAGGAGGAGGCCGCGGCAACGGTGCAGCTGGCACGGGCACGACGCCCTCCGGCACGACTGCGTCCACGGGAGACTGTGTCGATCGGAACGGAGATTGACAGTGCGGCGGCGGACGCAACGGCAACGGCAACGGCAATGCCGCGGCGGGCACGGCTACGACTGCGCCTGCGGCCGGTGCGAACTGCGTGGATCGCGATGGCGACGGACAGTGCCGCGTCGACAACAACGGCGGCGGACGGGGCAATGGCAATGACGAGGGACCGAGGATTCAGTGCATCAACAATGACCGCAATGGACAGGTGAGTCCTGCGGTCACGCCAGACGTCCCCTTCTTCAACGTGGCCCACTGACCTCTCCACCCAACCCGGCAGTGCGACAGCTCCACGACGTCCACGAACGGCACCATCAACGGACCGCTGCCGCTCAACCCGGGCGCACTGCCGCAGGACGGCTCCGTGCCCGGCTCGGTCTCGGGCACGGGCTCCGGCGGCAACGGCACCACTGGCACCACCTCGCGCACCGGCACGACGGGCACGGGCACGACGGGCACGACGGGCAACACGGGCACCACGGGCAACACGGGCACCACGGGCACGGGCACGACGGCGCAGAGCTCCATCGTCGACGGCGCGGCCTCGCTGCATGCCGCTCGCTGTGGCGCCGCACTTGTCGCGCCCGTCGGTGCCGTGCTGCTGCTCTAGGCGCCGCGCTGCCCCCTTGCTCTCTCCCTTTCTCCCGACAGAGGCGTGATTGACGAATCCGACGATGATGATCATGACGACCCTTACGACGCTGCACGAGAGCAAACCCCCACTGGCATGCCCTTGCAGCCCAGATGACTTCCTCCTCACGCCCTTCTCATGTCTCCCCTGCTCTCCTCGATGCTACTGTACATACCTTACGCACTCACCGCTCGAATCTCTATCATCTCTCTCTCTCGCTTCTCCTCTTCTCGCCCTGAAGGGCTGCCTTCCAACCTCATCCCTATGGCCATTGCATCAAGCCCTGCCTCACGCCTCGCCACTCGCACAGCGTGCGCCAGTACACATCGTCGCCCGTGTCGAGCGGTCCGTCGGGCGCCCACAGCAGCAGCTGCGGCGCCGTCGCCTCGACGTGCATCTGCCGGCTGCTGCGCTGCTGCTGCTGCGCCGGCGACGCGGTGGCGTGCATCGGCGCGGACGCCTCAGGTGTGCGAAGCGCGACGGCAGGCAGAGCGTCGTCGTCCCACCCCAGCGCTTGCTCCTCCTCTTGCGCAGCAGCGCCCGCCTCGCCCTCCGAGTCAGAGTCCATCGAAAAGACGGCCATCTTGGCCGCCGCCGCCGTGCCCTTCTTCTTCGCGGGCGGCGCCGCTGGTGCGCCGGCACGTTTGCGCGGCGAGCGCCGCAGGCCCTGCTCCTCGTCGTCGGCTGCGGCGGCGGGTGCCGGCGCTGCGGCTAGCCTGGAGCGCTTGAGTGCGGCAGAGGCGACGACGGCGGCGGCGGAGGAGCAGGAGGATGCAGGTGCAGAAGACGAAGAAGACGAAGACGACGGCACGGCGCAGAGATGCAGCTGCAGCTGCCGCGGCGCGAGGGCGAGCGCCGAGCCGTGCAGGGCGCGCCCGCGGAAGGCGGCGGCGTACGTCTGCGGCGAGCTGCTGCTGCTGCTGCTGCGCGGCGCTGCGGCTGCTGCTGCCTCGGCAGACTGGAACGCAGGTGCAGCCGCGGCGTCGGCAGCGCCCTCGCCCGCGCCCACGCCCTCGGCGTGGGGCTGCACGAGAAAGTAGCGCGAGACGGGCGCGGGCCCGTCGTACTCGATGCGCAGCGGGAGGAGATGTGCGTGCATGCGCGGCGGCTGCGCGGCGGGGAGGCGGAGCGACAGCGGCGGCGGGAGCAGCGCCATGTTTGCGGCAGTGGGGGGGGTGGTGGTGGTGGAGAGGAAGCAAGGCGGGATGCGCGCGGCATGGGGGCATCACGTGCGCAGCCAAGACGCGTCACGGCGCCGGCCACTCTACGCGCCGCGCGCGCCGGGCGGCTGGGCGTGATGCTCTCAGGGCCGCCGCCGCCTGCCGTGCCACTCCCATCCTCCCTCCCGCCAGCCGCGCATCACGCTCCCGTCTCTCACACACACGTGGCATCCTCCACCTTGCTCACAAGCCGCGCGCCCACGCGTGACACTGCTGCCCGGCACACACTCTCGCGACACACAGCACACACACACCCACCCCACCCCTCGCGCCCAATGTCGGCCGCCGCACCCGCGGCAGCAGACGCCGCACGGCCCGCCAGCACCGCCGACGTGGGCGCGCGCGGCGTCGAAGGCGAGGCGGCCAGCGGCGAGATGCGCGAGGCGCCGCCGGCTCCGGCGCGCGCAGGGGCGGCGGCAGAGGACGCAGCGCCCGGCGAGGCAGAGGCCGAGGCAGAGGCAGAGGCGGCAGAGCAGACGGCAGCGAGCAGCAGCAGCAACAAGGGCGCCGCAGAGCTGCGCACGCCCGCATTTGCGCTGGCGCGCGTGGGCAAGATCATCAAGGTGCGTCGTGTGTGTGTGTGTGTCTGTCGGGGCGAGAGGGCGAGGAGAGCTCTTTCGCACAGGGCGACCGCTCGTCGAAGAGGTGGGCCCTCACCTGCAGCCGCATTCGCCTCAGG